CTGTTTTTCCTCAAGAAACCCTTTTTACTGCAAAGGAAGTACGACAGCAGGCACGTGCCCCTGAGATCACTCACTCACAAGTACAGGACCTCAATGAATGGGGAGTAGCTTACACTAAAATGAAACTACCACGTGACCATTTTGGCTATTTCATATACCACTAAACCAAGAGGCCAGAAAAAAAAGAGAGGGTGGTTCTACTGGCTGGAGCAACTGATCCCAAGTACCAAAGGAAACTTGGGATACTGCTATATAACTGAGGCAAGGAGGATAATGTCTAAAATATCCAAGGACTTCCATGGCTCATAGAAAAGGGTCACAGAAAATTACAACTGAAACTGGCAAGACTACCAATGGCATAGAGCACTTGGGTCAATCCACTGGGCACACCACAGTTGCTTATATGCATATTTATATAAACTAAATATACACTTCTTTGAAGCCATATCTACTTTGAATACAAGTTGATGGCAGACTTACGATTTGGTAAATTTAGGTAATATTAAGAATGTCATGATGTTTGAAGAGAAATGAATATGGCCTGACGGGAAACTGTACACTATCTCACTTAGAAAAGTAAGACCATCTCTTGAATCATGTAGGGTTGAAATATAGTTAACTAATGAAGGGAACTGAAATCCTCTTATAATGGATAGGTGCTTATGAATGATGGGTGGCCAAAATGTGAACTGCCAGTTATCAATTTATTAATCTTGACTCTAGGGCCAGGGACTTAGCTCAGTGGCACAGTGCCTGCCTGGCAAGTCCAAGGTCCTGAGTTCGATTCCTGGTACCAAAAAAAATCGACTCTAAATTTACCTTCAATCCCTGCTCTGGAATAAAGGTAAGCATTTTTTTTTAAGTAGGTTCATTTATTATCACCACTGACAGATGAAGAAACTGGGACCATAGTTTTGTGTGTGAATGTTGCTGGAGTCTTGTTGTTTTTTGAGACGCCTCGCTATGTAGTCCAGGCTGAGCTTGAACTCACTGCATATCCCAGGCTGGCCTCCAACTCACGGCAATCCTCCTCAGCCTCCCAAATGCTGGGATGACACACATGCACCACCACACCAACCTCAGCAGTGGTTAACTTATGCGTACAGTCACCTAGCAGTTATGTGGTAGACACAATTTGAACTTGGCTTCAGAGTTATTAAGTTGGTTTGCTTGGGGGGAAATGTCTTGTTTCTTGCTTTCTTGTGACAGGGTTTCATTATGTAGTCCAGGTGGTGTTTGTTTGGACAGGGTCTTGCTATGTAGTTCAGGCTGGCCTTGAACTCCCAAAGACACTCTTACCTCAGCCTCCCAGGTGCTGAAATTAATTACGGGTGTGTACCACCACACTCAGCTCTAGAATGTTTTTGAACACTACATCACTTAGGAACATGGGGACACCTTACATCTGTCTTGTCCCTTAAGTACTGAAATTTTTATTAGCGTGTATCCACTATACAGAATGGTATCATTCTGTCATACTCATACATGTGCGCATTTTCATCATTTCCACCCTTCCCATTACACCGTTTTCCCCTTCCTCCCACCTTCCCCTCTTCCCCATGCCCCTCTTCTGAATGTCGCTTTTACTTAAGCATTTAACTGTGCCTATTTTAAGTTGATGGGAATAGGGGAGCACTGAGGGGTACGATGCAAAGGACCTGCTCTTGCTGCATCCAGCTTTGCAGGGTGGACTGCAGAGGTGTCTGTGGTGCCCCGCCCACTGGAGATCCAGAAGCCTTGGTCTACCTTCCCAGGCCCGCATAACATGGATAACAAAGCTCAAAAGCCTGCCATGGGAGAGACACCATCAGCAAATGACCAACCAGCTTCCTGGCTTGTTTTCCGTGTCCCTCCTGGCTAGATACTATTCTAGATTATGTGGTGCATTGTTGAGCCCCTCTGTGTACCTGCCCACATTAAGCCCTCATTCAAATGTTGTGTCATTACTCTCCCGAAGGACACTGCCATTTAAACCTTCATTTTTGTTGACACAGGGTCTATGTAGTCCAGGTTAGCCTCGAACTTGCAGCAATCCTGCCTCACACTCCTGGGTGCTGGCACAGGCTTGCACCAACATGCCTGGCTAAGGCTTTATAATGGCAGGGGTGGCTCAACTCCCTTTCCACACTGGCACACCACATAGTTTCTCTACACTGTGGAGCTTTGCTTCATGTTTGTCTAGTGATTGTACAACTCAGGCCCAGTCACCGGAAAACTTCACTTCTCCAGCCAGTGGACTAGAACTGTCTGGCAGATGCTAAGGACCACAAGATTTCTACTTCCTGAGATTCATACCCTAGTGTTTATCAGGTTCCAACTGAGTTGAGTCCTATAGGGAAAGTATATGATTGGTCTGACTTCAACAGGTGCACGTCTTTGGTGGGGTGGGGGTGGAGGTGTTGAGTCTTGCTGTGTAGCTCAGGCTGGCCTCGAATTCTCAGCTACCCTCCCACCTCAGTCTCCTGAGTGCTGGGATTAAGGCATGCACCATGCCCAGCAACAGATGCATATATTTTAAAGAGGTGGTAGGTCTTCTTGACATCCTTCCAGCTGGCTTCATGAAGGGGCTGTGGAGCAGGAAACTCAGCCAATGCCTTAACTACAAGCATGTTAGACCATAAGCAGAAGAAAATAAATGTAGTGAGTTTTTAAAAATTAAAAATGGAGAATCCAATCACTAATTACTTCATTACGTGAAAATAAGTTCATGTCTGGGTCTGACTCAAATGTGTGAAATGTTTCATTTGATGCTGGGTCCCAGGACCTTACACAGGCAAAGACAGCCCTCATCTCTCTTTGTCACCTTAATGCAGGTTGTGCCAAAGATAAAAAGCTATCCTGCTATCTATGAAGTGTGATCAAAAAGTACAGTGAACACTTAGAAGTTTAAAAATTGTAGTAACAGACACTGCCACAAATTCACTTCAGAATACTCTCCTGATACCCTGTTTCAAAGACACTGATCCTAGGCTGGGGATTTAGCTCAGTGGTTCCAGCACCTGCATTGAAAGCGCAAGGTCATGAGTTCAATCCCTGGTCCCAAAAAACAAACAAACAAACATATGATCCCATCATCCTTGCCACTTTGTGTAGCAGTTCTGGAAGTCCTCTTTTGTTGTCTTCAGTTGCACTATCGTGGCTGCCTCTGTATCCTAAATTAATTCAAACAGGGAATTTTCAAGGCCATTTTGACTTTTGAGGAGTCAGAAGTCACCTAGTGCCAGTTCTGGTGAATAAAGTGGATGAGGTTTTACAAGCCTGTCTTTCCACTGTGGGGCACTAAGTAGTACATCTGCCACATTTTTGATCATACCTCATAAAGACACAAAACAGGACTTCCAGAACTACCCCAGAAAGTGGTGTGTTTGAAGTAAGGGGAAGTCTCTAAGGGTGTTAATAGCAATGGGTTTTTTTCTACCACAATACAGACTTTAACATTTACCATATTTTTCTATCACACCTAAGCCTCCTGACACGCGTCTTAGAAATATTCAGGGTGGGCACCAAAAGCAAAAATAAACAACTAGGGCTTATCAAACTGAAAAGATTTTACTGGAAAATGCAAAGGAAAAATCTAAAAAGTGGAAATGGCAATGTAAACAAGAAGAAAACAAACTTTAGACCACAGATGTGATGAACAGGTCAATAACTAAAATAAGCAGCTCATGTGACTCCACAGCAAAAAAAAAAGTCAAATACCCAAATTTTAAAATGACAAAGAACAAGTATTTCCCCAAAGACATGCAAATGGTTTACAAGAGTAGGAAAAAAATGTTCAAAATGAGCTGTTCTCAGAGATATGCAGGTCAAACCCACAATGATGCCACCTCACAAGTTAGGATGGCTATTAGAAAAAAATCAGAAGATACTGACAGCAAAGTTGGCAGAGAAAACAGATCCCTTGTACATTACTGGCAGAAAAATAAAACAATAGTCATTTCACAAAAGTATGCATATTTCTCGTAAAATTAAGTAGACTGACCATACAATACATCAAACCAATCTCTTGGCATATATCCCCCCAAAATAAAATCACTTACTCAGAGACAGCTGGGAGTGGTGGTGCATGCCTGTAAGCCCAGCACTCAGGGAAGCTGAGGCAGGAGGATTGCTGAGTTTCAGGCCAGTCTTGGCTACATAGTGAGTTCAAGGCCAGCCTGAACTACACACTGAGACCTTGTCTCAAAAACAAAAATAGACAAATGGATAAAATGCAGTTTTACAATAACTAGCCACTAAAATGGGAGGAAATCTTGTCATCTGCCATACTACACTTCAACCCTGGGATACTATGCTAAGTGAAATAAACCAGGTACAATAGGACAAACACTGCACAATCGCACAAGTGGAATCCAAAGAATTCAAAGCACAGAGTGAAGAGTAGTTACAAAAGGCTTAAGTTTGGGAAGAAAGGGGAGAGACTGGACAAAGGTACAAAAAAGATAACTAAGTGTGTGAGAATTAATGTGTAATCTTGTGATTTTAGTTCACACTAATATAGTATATACTTGAAACTTAAGACAGTAGTAAGTGTATCCATGACACAACAAATAAAAGCTTAATTATGTGAGGTGATGGATACACTGAGTTTGTCTTTATCATTTCTTAATGTTTAATTATGCAGACATCAGACCCTAAATTTAAAACAATTTTCAATCACATTAAATAGATATATTTTAAGGAACACTACAGTGAAAATTAGAAACTTGTAACTGAAGTTGTAAAAGTACACAAATACTAAAATACTTGAAATATTCAAAATTTATCTAAAGAACCATCCAGAAAGCCATGACTGTTATATAAGACTTTAGGATAGTAAAGCAAATTCCTTACCATGTACACGTAGTTTCTGTTCCATTTAGAACACCATTTAGTCAAAGTTAAATAACATAAAAAGTGATTTTCCAACAGTATTTCTACCTTTCATCTAGTTTTTCTTCACTGTGAAATCAAACTACTCGCCAGAACTACAACACTTCCACATATCTTAAATCAACCCATTTGCTCTATTGGAACTCCTCACATATTTATTAAGACTCCAGGAAATACAAAAAGGTTTGCATGTTTCTTATTCTACATAGCTTCAAAGTAAGTTCAATGACATATCCATGTTCCTTAAATTCAAGGAGCATCCTCAATGTTCTTTCAAGCCACAAATGAAGGTTTACATTGCATATATTCATAAGATTTCTTAAGACTGAATTGAATTGCTAAGGATTAAGGACTTCCCAAAACATTTTCTGAATTCCTTACAAAGCATTTCTCTCCAGAGTTTTCATGTTCATTAATGTCAGAAGGGTTTATGTTAGCATCGAGACTATTTAAGGTTTCCTCACATTCCTTGTACTCATATGGTGTTACTCGAAATGGTGCAGGTGTCTCTCCAAAAGACGCAGGTCCAGGTGTCTCTCCAAAAGGTACAGGTGACTCTCCAAACACTGTGGGTGTCTCTCTGAGTGGTGTGGGTGTCTCTCCATATGGTGCCTCTCCGGTGTGTTTTCGTAAATGTTTATTAAGGCCTGAGTGCTCAGTAAAGGCTTTTCCACAGTACTTACATACATAGGGCTTCTCTCCAGTGTGAATTCGCATGTGAACACGAAGGTAAGAGGACCATAAAAATGATTTCCCACATATCATACACTGAAAGGGCTTCTCCCCAGTATGTGTTCGCATGTGAACGGGAAGGTAAGAAGAACAGGTAAATGTCTTTCCACACACTGTGCACTGAAAAGGTTTCTCTCCAGTGTGAATCTTCAGATGTACATTAAGATATGAGGAAGACGCAAAGGCTTTCCCACAGTGGTCACATTCAAAGGGTTTCTCACCCTTGTGACTTCGTACATGTGCAATAAGGCCTGAGGAAGTAGTGAAGGCTTTCCCACATTCCTGACATGCATAGGACTTCTCACCAGTGTGATTTCGTAAATGTATAGTAAGGCCTGAGCGTGCAGTAAAGTCTTTCCCACAATAAGTACATTTATAAGGTTTTACTCCAGTGTGAATTCGAAAGTGGGTCTCAAGGGATGAAGAATTTCTGAAAGACTTTGTGCATAGCTTACATTTGAAGGGCCTCTCACTACTGTGAGTTTTTATGTGTACTGTAAGTTGAGCAAAGCTAGTGAAACCTTTCCCACACTCCTTACATTCATATGGCCTCTCCCCAGTATGTGTCCTTACATGCTTAGTGAGACATGAGCGCTCAGGGAAGGTTTTCCCACATTCTGTACATTCATAGGGTTTCTCACCAGTGTGAGTTCGCATGTGAATGCGAAGGTAGGAGGATCGGGAAAATGCTTTCTCACACAGGTTACACTGAAAGGGCTTCTCTCCAGTGTGAGATCGCAAATGTGCAACAAGAGATGAGGAATAAGCCAAGGCTTTACCACATTTGTAACATTCAAAGGGCTTCTCCCCTGTATGAATTCTTATATGTTCAACAAGCGCTGAGGATGTACTAAATGCTTTCCCACACTCCTTACAGTCATAGGGTTTCTCACCATTGTGAATGAGTACATGCTTAGTAAGGCCTGATCGAGCAGTGAAGTCCTTCCCACAGAAGTTACATTTATAGGGTTTTATTCCAGTGTGAATTCGAAAGTGAGTCTTAAGGCATGAGGAATTTCTAAAGGTTCTTGCACATACCTTACACTGAAAGGGCTTCTCACCAGTATGAGTTTTTGTGTGCTCAGTAAGTTGAGCAAAGCTGGTGAAGGCTTTTTCACATAATGTACATGCATAGGGCTTCTCCCCAGTATGTTTTCGTAAGTGAATAGTGAGCCATGAGCGTCCACTGAAGGCTTTCCCACATACTTTACATTCATAGGGTTTCTCTCCAGTGTGAGTTCGTATGTGACCAAGAAGGTAGGAGGAACGTGTAAATGCTTTCCCACATACATTACACTCAAAGGGCTTCTCTCCAGTGTGGGTTCTCAGATGTGTAGTAAGATAAGAGGAAGAAGCAAAGGCATTCCCACAATGATCACACTGAAAGGGTTTCTCTCCTGTGTGACATCTCATATGTTCAGTAAGGCGTGATGGTTGAATGAAGGCTTTCCCACATTCCTTGCACTCATAAGACTTCTCTCGAGTGTGCTGTCGTAGATGTACAATTAAGCTGGAGCGCTGTGTGAAGGCTTTCCCACATTCCTGACATTTATATGGTTTTTCAACAGGGTGGTTCTGCATATGAATATTAAGGTAAGCCGGGTGTGTGAAGAATTTCCCACATTTCTTACATTCATAGAAATTTTTCTCAGTGGACATTTGAGCATACCCATCACTGTTTGTGGAGAGACTAAAAGCTTTCCCACACTGCTCCAATTCAGAGAGGTTTTCTCCACTGTGAGTTTTCATATGGCCCTGAAGCTGTGACTGATTAACAAAAGCTTTCCCAGACTCACTGCCCTCAAAGGATTTGTCGTGAGTAGAAGTTCTGTGGAAAGTATCTAGAGCCAGGGTAGAAGGCTCTGCACACTGGTTCAAAAGAGAAAACTTCTCTTCAGGAGAGGTTTTTTCCAGCAGCGGAAGAAAGTCCTTTTCATATTGATTACACTCTGAAGAGTCCTCTGTATTCGGAGTACTCACGTGTACCTGAAGGTCTGTATATTCACTGAAGACTTTTCCAGATTGCTTAGGGTCACAGAGCTCCCCTTCATTGTCATTTCCTGCCTGCAAATAAAGAAATGAATAAGGACTAAAGATTTTTCAGATTTACATGAGAATGTGTACTTGTGGGAACTCAGTACAATGGACCCTCAAGTTATGACTGGCCTGACATATGAACTACCATCAGAATTTGTTTTAACTTACGCCAAAGTCCTTTTTTTTGGTTTTTTTGAGGCAGGGTCACCCTTTGCAGTTCAGACTGGCCGTGAACTCACTGTGTAGCCCAGGCTGGCCTCTAACTTTCGGTAATCCTCCTGCCTCAGCCCAAAGTCTTCACTTATGACTCAAACGCCAGCTCCTTGTGCTTCCAGATGGTCTCAGATACATATTTAACCCTTAAAGAGTTCTGGAAGGAATATTACAACATCCTTTCCTGTGTGGAGTCAATTGAGAAATCCTGGGCCAATGTCTAAGGACACTGAGATCTGCCTATATATAGGAGTGAGACTTTGAAGGTTGTGTAGAGGAGCCTGACCCTTCACTGACCAACATGAGTTACAACCAGCCCTTGGGAACAAATTAAGTTCGTAAGTCAAGGGTCCACTGTACCAAGTTTCACACTGGTATGGGACATATCACTAGGGACAATGACCTCTGAGGGTGAAGGTCCCTTAAATATCCCTCATTTGTGATGGAATTCCCAATCTTCCCTCCTTTTTTTTTTTGAGACAGAATTTCATTGTATAATTTAGGCTGCCCTGGAACACACTATATTGTCCAGGCTGTCCTTGAACTCACAGCAATCTTCCTGCACAGCCTCCCGAGCCCTAAGATTACAGGTGTATACCACTTCACCCAAGTGTATTCCCTAAATCTGAAACCAAGAAATATCCCAGTGACTCTTTTTTTTTTTTTGTACCAGGGATTGAACTCGGGTCATCGCACTTGCGCAGCAGGCAGCGAAACCACTGAGCTAAATCCCCGGCCCATCCCAGTGACTCTTACCTGTTGTATCTCGTTTGATATATCTGACCAGAAAATATCCTTCTCAAGGGCTGGACCTTTGGTTTTCAGGTGCATTTCCCATTCTGAAGTGAAACAAGAAAACACGTAAAGGTTTGCACAACAACATGGGAGGTTAAGTTAAAATGTAAAAGTTTATTAGCAGTTTTTTCTATGAAATCTGAAATTCGATGATGAACAGAAACAATAAAATCAGGGAAGAAAAGACAGACACAGCCACACAAATAGAACAATAAACTCAGAGGAATACAGTCAAGTCATTAGTGTGACCATTAGAAAGACTTGGATAAAATAATGGCATGTGGAAGTTGAAAATATCCCAAAACATCCAGTCCAAGGAACTCAGCCTTCACATTCAAAGTAGTCTTTTAAGGTTTCTGCATTATTTTCCAACCATGATGAATTAGTCAATAACAAATATTTTTTATAAACACTCACCTTGGAAAAAGCCTCGCTCCACAATGGTCAATTCTACTTCTTCCTCCAACCAAGAGATGAGGCTGGGTTTCAACAGCTGACGTCCTGCACACAGGAAAAGATACATTCATGTTAGAGGCTCAAGTAATCTTCCCATTATAGAAAATGACTTTATTTGGAGACAGGGTCTTGCCATTCTAGCTGGCCTCAAACGTCTCTGCCTCCTGAGTGCTGAGATTACAGGCATGTTCCACCATGACCAGTTGAAAACTATGTTTTTAACAAAAGGATTAAAATTACTTCTAAAAAGCTCAAAATACAAATTTGGGAGTCCTGAGATTTGTTCTTAACTTCTGAAATCCTATGTTCCTTATTTCCCACTGTATTCTGAGCTGACATCATTAATCTGGAAACAATTAAGTAGGTAATGCATTTCTGTCCCCTAAGAGGCCACAAGGAATGGTGGCAGTCTTACCTACTGTAGACAGGTTCTGGTAGTTCTCCAGCATCACATCTTTGTAAAGGTTTCTCTGAGTTGGGTCCAATGAAGTCCACTCCTCTTTGGTGAAGTCCACAGCCACATCCTCAAAGGTCACTGAGTCCTAAACCATCACAGAAATACTAGCTTCGGCCAAGTAATGTCTCCCTCCACCAACGTACACCAGTGAGTAAGCAAGTGACACCAATGCCTATGAGGATTCTGAGGTGTCCCATATTCTATCCTAGGGTTCAAAGAACCTAGGACATCTCCATCCACACTACCTCACTATAGCTCTCTTCCCAACTATATGGCTTTTGGCACCTCTTACACACGAACTTATCTCACCACAATGAGACTCACAGCTCTTGCATACTAGTAGTTCCTAAATAGCACATTCCTGAGCATGTTACAAAGACTTGCTAAATCGAGATACATGACAACCATTTGAGAAAAGACAGCATCACCTTCCTTACCATCTGTCAGAACATTAAAAAATAATTATCTAAACAGCACCCAGAAAGTGAAGATTCATATGATTACCAAAATACTGAGATAAATTTTAGGGTAATCCTTCACCTATATGAGAGAAATACCTTCTGCAGAAACTCAAGTAGGGCCTAAGTCTTGCTATAGGTCCTTTTTTGCTCTAAGGAGTGCTGGAGACAGATCTATTTATAAAGAAATCTAATAATGTCTTCCTGGTTGACCCAATTATGTTATTTTTGGGAAGGCTAACAAGCTTCACAAACTTTGCATATCCCTACATTCATCGTTATCAAAGTATATGTTCGGAGATATTGATTGCTCCCTCTCGTGTGAAACCTATTTTCACTCACGTATCTCTCCACATTTTGATTTGCTGACATGGAATTCCCAATCTACCCTCCATATACATAGCAAGAAATACACTTTACCAGTTGTATCCCACCAGAAGTATGTTCAGTCAAAAAATCCTGCTGAATTGCTGAATCTTTGGTTTGTAACTGCATTTCCAAATCTGAAACAAACAAACAAAAAAAATGTAGGCTTAAAGAAAGAAATAGAAGAGCAGATTAAAGGAGGTGATAAACTTAAGAGACATCCTGTCTCACAACAATAATTTTAATAGTGGCCAGGGATTTTAGCTCAGTGGTTCCGGCACCTGCCTTGCAAGTGCAAGGACCAGAGTTTGATCCCTGGTATCAAAATTAATTAATTAATTAATTAATTAACATTTTAATAGTGGCTGGGGAGGTAGCTCAGTGGTAAAGAGGCCCTGGGTCCAATCCCAAGAACCAGGATTTTTGAAAAAAATAAGTAAGATGAAACAAAAATAACATTTAAGATTTACAGTGAAAATTCAGCAATGTTAAGGTCACAATTTTAATCTGTTAAACATTAATTCTGTGAAAATGCATGATAAATAATGAAAAGATAATTTGAGAGGTTCTGTCACAGCTTATATCTACATGTCCGCGAAATGACTCATGCACTCATAGGTGGGGCTTTTGGGAGGTGTCTGGATCATGGGTGTGTGACACTGGATTGTAAGTGTGATAACTGGATTAGTCTTCTGATTGGTTTAGCATAGTTCTAGGTGTGGGAAGGCCTGCCCTGGGTGGCACCAACCAATGGGCTTATAGACTGGAAGGAATATAAAGGGAAGGGAAGGTTTGCTATGTGCTGTTTTGTGCCTACCCTGCCATGGATTGTTTTTCCTCTGTCATGCTGCCCTGCTTGGAGCCAGCTGACTGTGGACTGAAACCTCTACAAACTATAAGCTAAAATGAACCTTTCCTCCTTTAACTTGTGGGTGTAGGATATTTTGTCCCCAAAACAAGAAAGTAACTAAAAGATAAGTTCCCTCTCTATACTCCAAATACACTGAACCCATCACAGTACTGGATTGTATTTCACAAGCACTCACCTTGAAGAAGTTCCTTCTGCCCAGTCAGCAATTCTTCTTTCAAGCAAGCCATAGGGCTGAGTTTGATGGGCGTCTGACATCCTGTACACAGAAAAGAAACATTCATGAAGGGATGACAAAACTGCCTATGATTCAGGTCTATAATTCTATTGAAAACAATGAATTTATCTGAAGCAGACTAAAAAGACAGACAAGGTTTTTGTGTGATCCCAAAATTGGTAATCTCCTACCACTGAATTGCTAACTAATGCAACGATGACATTTACAAACCTCTAACATTTTAATTAACTCAGGAAATAAACCAAAGAAATCTTTGTCAGGTAATAAACTAAACCAGTGGATTGGGAATGTAGCTCAGTAATGGAGATCCTCCTAGCGTGCACAAGGGCCTGGGTCCCCTCCCTAGTAAAACAGAAAAATAAACTAAACCAGTGACTCATAAATATTAGAGTGAGCCAGGCATGGTGGTGCATGCCTGTAATCCCAGCACTCGGGAGGCTGAGGCAGGAGGATCAATGAGTTTGAGGGCAGCCTGGGCTACATAATTGAGGCCAGCCTGAACAACAAAGCGAGACCCTGTTCTCAAAAACCCAATCAATCAGTCAACAACAAAGTACATCAGATTCAGCTAGCAAGGTGGCAAGACACCATCTAGAGAGTTTCTGAGATTCACCATTTCAAAGGGGGAAACTGAATATATACTTGAGCAAGAGAAGGTTGAATATGAGCCACATTTTACAAATTACCACAGTAGGTAGGGATGTAGCTCAGTGGTGAGGCCTAAGCACAGCATGCTCCAGACCTCAGGATCAATGTAGAGCACCACCAAAAAAGAAGAGAAAAATCAGACATGGTGGAGTGTGTCTTTAATCTCAGCATGCTGGGAGACTAAAGCAGGAGGATCAAAAATTCAAGCCCAGCCACGGCAAGGGCAACTTAATGAGACTGTTTCAAATTTTTTTTAGGGCTAGAGATGTAGCTCAGTGCAAAGGCCCTGGGGTCAATGACCCAGTGCCCTAAGAAACAAATTTTTAAAACAAATTACAAGGGAAAAAAAACCTACCATAAGATATTAAAGTATATAGAGAAGAGACTACCTTACTTCTCCATTATCAGAGTTGACCTCACAGCTCCTAAATACAGTAAGTATATAACATACACCTATTCCATACAAAGCTACAAGGGAATGGGACAGTCATACCTACTGTTGCCACGTTCTGGTAGTTCTTCACCATCCCATCACTATGTATGCTTCTCCGTGTTGGGTTCATTAAAGGTTTTTCCACCTGGGGGCCATCAACAGCCACATCTTCAAAGGTCCCTGAATCCTAAACCACAGCACATGCTGTCTTGATCCAAGTAATAAATATCTCCAATTTTCTCAGAATAAAGACAGGGGACCCAATGTCTATACAGAGATATGAATTCTCTCACTGTCAATGCCAGGATTCAGTGGCCTTAGAGCTCTTCTCTGCACCTATGCTAATTATCTACTCTACTCACATTTTCAATGGCACATCTCAAACATGAACTCATCTCACAGGACAGGAATCTCTTTTTTGTCTTACTTACTCCTCCAATTAATCTTCCCATGTATTGCATATATTTGGTATATGGGGATAGATGAAAAAAGTCTTTTGAGAAAATGACACTTTCATTTTGTATCTTTGAAACACCGCACATTAAAAGGAACACATTTGGCACCATGAGGGTCAAATTACTTGGCAATTATTAAAAAACTACAATGACTTTCAAGGGAATCATTCATAAATGTGAAAGGCTCCACTGTCTGGGGAAATTCAACTAGGGACTCAGTCCTTGTATGAGGCTTTACTTCTTTTAAGAAGCCCTGTAGAAAAGTCTGCCTATGTGGAAATGTGCCTACTTGGTAAATGCAACGTAAGTGTGTGGAATGAAATAAATTCTTCATACTTGGTAATGTCTCAGGGAGTCAGCCACTGTCCTTTCTGTCTCTATCTCTTCTTCATGACTGCAGACTGAGTCCCCAGAAAGTAGACTTCCTGGAAAAGAGAAGACATGACAACCCAGGGCTGACCAGAAGTCCACATTCATGTCACATACACATCTTTCCATCCTAGTTCCAAATTCCCATATAATCAGAAGAACTAAGGTACAAAATCTGTAGGAAAGCACAATGCCACTTATAGCCAGAAAATGATGGCAAGTCATGCAGTCTGTCGAGAAAGTACCCTGGTCTCACTTCACAAGCAGGGAGCTAAGACCTGAGATTAATTTCCCCATGGCAACAGAACTCATGAATCTGATTATGGAGCACCTCTTCCCACAGACAACATACCAGGGAGCTGACTTCCACACAGTGTTCTCTGGCCCACTTTAGCACCTCAGGAATGGACCAGTAGCATAGCTGTTCTAGCTCACACCACCGGGCTCTGAATCATGCAGGGAGGGGGCTAAAGCTGATTCTCTGGCAAACACCAGCAATGAGACTTACCATGGGACAAACTGGTAACATCCATCTTGCAAGTCTGATGGTGAAATATGTGTGATCACACTCTTCCGTGATTCCAAGACACGTTAGGGCAGCTTATGAATCTTAAGTGGATAGTGGCAATAGCTATTCCTTTTTAAACAGGGTTATGTAGATTCCTGTTGACATCAATCATTTAATCAAGAAGCATTACTTAGAAGTTTTCAAACATCACACATTAGCTTTCCGCTGGCAACATGTGTGAACACCACTAAACTGGTACAAATCCTTTAACATGAGATTAGTAATACTACCCCATTTAAGGAGGAACGCTAAGCACTGTCCCTTACACTGACAGCTTTTAGATGCGTACTTATGCATATACAATAGCTCCATCATATAATTATTCTATTTACTTAATTATTTGAATAATCCTTCACAGCAGATACATAATCATTATTTAATGATGAAAAACAAACAAATAAAAACCTCCATAAATTTAGATTCCAGTAATGAGGAAACAGTGAATTGGCACTTCAAGGCAGATAAAATCTGTCCCTAAAAATTCAAATGTCATTGTCATGACATGAGAACCAATATGGACTCTGGAAACTGATACCTGGGATACTTAAAAAATGTAATGTTCTATTTTTGCAAGTAAGGTATTAAGAACAAGAATGTCATGATTTTCTAAACACATCAGAATATATCTCAACCATGGGAATCCCAATTTATAAACAATGAGTGCTCCAAGCCCTGCCAGTGCTCATGGCAGCAGGAAGAAAATACCAAATCAGTGTGCTAAACACCTGAAGATATTCTCAATGAAACACTTTATATTATTACTGATGAGCTCTCTTTTTCCAGTAACTTCTGCTTCTATTTTTCACTTTTTAATCTTTAGTTTTCATATAAAGAAAATTTTAAAATGCAGTAAAGAGCATCAATAAAAGAAAAATATATGATTTCCCAAGACAGAGCATTTGTAAATGTAGATAGAGTCACAGGACAAAAAAGAAGAAACCTTACGGTATTTATAAGAAAGTGAAATAAAAAGAGAATTTTCTCTTTATAGGACTTCCACAGAAAAAGACAAGATAGAAATAGCATCTTAAAAACCAAGGCTGGGCGGGGTGACGCATGCCTGTAATCCCACCTTTTCAGGAGGCTGAGGTAGGAAGATCTGAATTTCAAGGCCAGGTACACAGGACACTTCTCAAAATTTTTTTTAAAAAAAGGTCTGGGGTTGTAGCTCAGGATGAAGTCCTCTGTTCCACCTCCACAAAGCAGAAGAAAACACAAAGAAACAGTCTGTGGTTGTCCCTTGATGATAAAGCCCTTGCTTACAACAAGTGGCTCTACCTTCTAATTCCAGCACTGTAAAGTGGGGAAAAAGGGTAAATATTTCCCACATCTGCAAAAAGCATCAGTATCTTTATACAGGAGGGTCTGAGTTCTCAAAAAAAAAAAAAATCCGGGGCCGGGAATTTAGCTCAGTGGTTTCGCTGCCTGCTGCGCAAGCGCAAGGACCCAAGTTCGATCCCTGGTACCAAAAAAAAAAAGTTTCAAAAAAAAAAAATCCGCACAGGACTAGAACAGTGTTATAACCAGATGTTCAAAAATCAAAGACAAGGCTGAGGCTCTGCATTAGAGCACATACATAGCATGTGAATCTACAAGTTCACCAGTACAGGAAAAGAAAGACTCAAAAGGCAGGAAGAGTACCCACCCTGAAGACAAGAGAAAGAAGATCACATATAAGAGTTCCAAAAAGCCCAGGAGCTGATTTCTCACCAGAGAATTTATGGACAGGACAGAGTGGGATGACATATAAAAGCTGCAGTCTACAAAAAGAGTAACAGCAACCCTTCTCATATCCTTCCAAAAATTAAAGAGAATACTTCAAAATCACTTTATGAGGTCAGCATTACTGTGTTACCAAAGCCAGAGAAGGAAGCTATGAAAAAAAATTAACCCGGACTGGGGATTTAGCTCAGTGGTTCCGGCACCTGCCTTGCAAAAAATTAACCAGCCATGGTGGCACACTCCTGTAATCCTAGCACTTTAGAATACCAAGGCAGGAGGATCACCAATTCAAGGCCAGCTTTAACACACATGCAAGAAAACATCACCAAAATTACTAGCATATCCAATTCAATAGAACATTAAAAGGTTCATTCTCAGCCAGGCTTGCTGATGCTCACCTGTAATCCTAGCTGCTTGGCAGGCTGAGTTAAGAGAATCACAAATTCAAGGCCAGCCTGGGTAACTTACTGAGATCCTGTCTCAAAAAATAAAAAAAGCTGGGGATGTAGCTCAATGGTAAAGCACCACTAGGTTCGATCCCCAGCACTGAAAAAAAAAAAATCATTCACCATGATCAGGTGAAATTCATCCCTGGGATAAGCCACAAAAGCTGTACCTAAAATAGCCAAAGGAATTTTTAGCTTAAAACAAAAACAACTGAAGCCACACTATCTATGTAATCTGACTACCTATCACAAGGCTGCAGAAGCTTAAGTATTGGAATAAAAACATACAGTCCAGTGGAACAAAAGAAAAACCCCAAGTGACACTCATGCCAACTGACCTGCAAAGTATATACTAGATAAGCAGTTCAATTTCAAAAGGAGTAGTATATATAGCCATTATGGAAAATAATATGAAAATTCATCAAAAATTAAAAAAAGAACTACCAAGTACCACAGCGGTCCCTCTACTGAGTTTAACTCCATCAGACAGGACACCAGAACATTACAGAGACATTAACACTCTACAGATGCTGCAGCACTATTCTAAACAGACCAAACACTTCAACAACCGAGACTCCATCAATAGATTCTGAAAGCACACAGAAAATGTAGTATATATGCTTACTATTATTTAGCTAAAAAAGGGAGAAATTCTGTCTTGGTGCCAATATGGATAAACCTACAAGACATTATGGTAAGCTAGGCACAAAAAGAAAAACACCAACCAAGCACATCTAAGTAGAATGTAAAACCTCACAGAAACAGTAAAATCATGGTTACCATTGCCTGGGAGTGAGCGCTTTAGAGATATTGGTGAAAAGACCCAAAATTTCAGCAAGACAGGAAGTTAACATGTATTGTACATGGTATATGGTGTATGGTGACTACTGTTAACAGTAATATACTGGAAAATTGATGACAGCAGGTTTTTTTTTTTTTGTTAGAAGAGATTGAACTCGGGACCATATGCTTGAGAGGCAGGTGGCGGAATCACTGAGCTACATCCCTGGTCCAGTTTTTTAATATTTAACTTATTATTTTATGAAATAACACAGTAGGCCCCAGTGTAATAATTAAATAAGAAAACCTACAGGTCTGCTTAATAACCATTAATGCCTGTCTTCACAGGCACACATATGTAGTAGACTGAAACATTTCCAGTAATCAATGCCTTTCATTCGCTGAGCTACACAAGCACATGTAACTCCAGGGCACTGATACACACAAGTTTCAGTTCAACTGTGCGCAGCGCGTGCAGGAGGTAGAATCAGCAGACCATCCTGTTGCCCCCTACATAGTCTTTGCTCAAGCACACTGCAACTGAGTCATGAAAAATTTTGCTGAAAATCACATGACCGGGCTGGGGATTTAGCTCAGTGGTTTCACCGCCTGCTGCACAAGCACAAAGACCCGAGTTCAATCCCGAGTACCAAAAATAAATAAATAAATGAAAATAAAAATCATGATAATAAATGTTAAGTTTATAATATTGTGACATTATTAGCTGTCCAGGACAACATACAGCCTATGAGCCATGGGTTGGACATACCCGGTCTACAGGGAGTTCACAAAAAGAACTTTCATTGCTGCATGTGAATATCCATGGTGCCAGGGGAGGACAAGAAAGGAAACATGTGGCAGGATCAGCTTATGACATTGCTGCACCTCACTGCATGAGCCGGGTGCTTGGAGAGTGTGAAGATGTTCATATCAAGAAATTATAGGGGGCCGGGGATTTAGCTTAGTGGTTCCGCTGCCTGCTTCACAAGCATAAGGTCCAGAGTTTGACCCCCAGTACCAAAAAAACAAAACAAAACAAAGAAATTATAGGGCCGGGGATTTAGCTCAGTGATTCTGCCAGCTGCCTCACAAGCACAAGGTCCCAAGTTCAATCCCTGGTACCAAAAAAAAGAAAAGAAAAATTATAAATTTTTAAAAATTTACATTATGATCCATTTCTGTGATCCCAATTTTTCTTTTTATTTTTATGGTACTGGGAATTGAACCCAGGGCCTCTGCACTGAGCTACACAACCAGCCCTTGTCTGTTTTTTTTTTTTTTTGAGACAGGGTCTCATTATGCAGTTCAGGGTGGCCCCAAACTCATGGCAATCCTCCTGCCTCAGCCTCCTAAGTGCTGGGATTAACAAACGTGCACCTCCATGCCTGGGCCCTTTTTTATTCTTTATTTGGAGACTGGTCTCACTAAGTCACCCAGGCTTGGCTTGAATCTGGGATTCTTCTGCCTCAGCCCCCTCAGAGTCCTGAGACTATAGGCATGCACCACCATGCCTAGATGTGCAACATCTTAATACAAATCCAGATGGCTAACATTTGTCACTTGGATTGTATAGATATTAAAGTTGACCTACCCATCAGAGGTAAACCTCGAAAAGATGACAAACAGGAAAACTCCAATTAAACTTACAAGAGTTTGGCACCTAGCCCTCAATCAGGTGAGCCCTTTACAAGGGCCAGGAAAACAGGTCATCTCTGAGTTCCAGGAAATCTTTGGGACGATGTTATGTCACGAAAAGCCTTTGCCTGTTGGCTTATTCCTTATGGTCCTTTTTTTTTTTTTGGCACCGGGGATCAAACTCGGGTCCTTGTACTTTCCAGGCAGGCAGTGGAACCATTGAGCTAAATCCCCAGGCCAAGTCTGGCTAGTCCTTCTTGTATCTGTGCAGAAAGAAGGGGTAACCTTGAGCAGCACAAGCCCCCCCTTCCCCGATCACATTCACTTAAAAGCCAGTCACCCATCCATTGCATCGGAGGAGACTCCCTGGCTTGTTACAGAACGGGCAATGTTTCTTGTAGCTTTTGACCATGGTTTGAAGTCAGGTATGTTGGCTCACACCTGTAATCCCAGCACTCCGGAGGCTGAGACAAGATGATAGCTGCAAGTTTAAAGCCAGCTTGGGCTACATAATGAATTCAAGGCCAGCCTGAACAGTGAGATTCTGTCTCAAAAATAAAAAAGGAAGATGGTTTGAAAGGGTCACAGGACCCTTTGGTTTGCCCTAAGGATTTAATTTTGTCAAAGGCTTCTGTTCCAGTCCTGATGCTGACAGCCTATACCCACAACATGTCTTACTAGAAGCAGAATAAACATAGTTCATTCTGCATGGCACCCTTGGTTTGATGGAAAAGGGGAGGTCAGAAGCTGAGGGTGTATTTCAGTGGCAGAACACTTGTCCAGCATGAGAGGCCTTGGATTCAAATCCCAGAGCTGCATGCATAAATGAAAACGGGAGGTCACATGTAGATAAAGAACCACAGACAGCTGGGCATGGTGGTCCACACCTCTAATCCCAGCACTTTGGGAGGCTGAGGCAAGAGGATCACAAGTTCAGGCCCAGCCAGCACAATAGGGTGAGGCCCTCTCAAAAAAAAAAAAAAATGTTTAGAAAGCGCTGAAGATGTAGTTCAATGTTAAGGCCCTGGATTCAATCCCGAACAACGCGCGCACGCATACACACACACACACACACACACACCCATGTACCTACCACATACTGGGTTTCACTGAAAACAAGTGCAGGATGGAAAAGGAAAGGCATAGGTGTTGAGCATGTGTATCTGGGCCACAATACAAATACTGGTCTCCACAAACAATTCCTTTTAAAGTAAAACCACCACTGCAGCTGCCTTGCCCAGGCTTCCATTTATAACTTTTTAATCTTAATCCCACTGCATAAGGGCGAGAGGACACTTCAAAGGTATATGGTCCCAGGTATTTGACCTTACATGGCCAGGGTTAAGAGCAAAAAATTATAAAAATAAGTCTAGGCAAGATAAACAACTGCAGGGGTTGATTCGATCTACTGTAGTTAAAAGGATTTTTTGTGGAGACCATCCTGTCTGCCAATTAAGACTAATTATCTAAAATTATTCAGGGACATAAAGGTTCTGACCAAATTATTTTCTGAAACTGTAGGATCATTTATTTTGAAAAGCTGAAAAGCTTATCTTAGTTATTACCAGTAATATCTATATCTGTAACTCTGAAGGGAAAAAGGAGTATTCCAGTAATGCCTAGTATTGTGGTCCTAGTAATACAAAGGTGTATATGATTTTTATTTTGGTTTTCTGTAACCCAAGAGATTTCAAGAGGCTTTTCTTTTGCTTCCTGAAGAAGTGACCTTAAGCAATGGCTAAATAATTTATAGTAAATGCTCAGGATATTCCTGACTGCTGCAGGTTTTGCCAGGTGTGCTGATTCTTGGATCTTTTCAAAAACCTCCACTGATGACATACTGGGTAAGGTATGAAAAGCAATATTCCACTGCACTGGACCATGCATGACACTCAGCTGACCATTCGTACGATTCACAGCTCCCACTGTCCTCTCAGTTCATCTTGAGGGGCCTGTTAGGCTGCTGAGGGATCTGGAGAAGAAAGGACCTCCTCCAGGTCCCTGCCATCTGCCAAGGGACTAAAAAGAGGCTCTCTCTTGAAAGATCCTCCAGCAGTCTTAGATTTGCCCTGATGCTCTGTAAAGACCACAATGGCCTTGACAAGCTGCAGAGGACCCAGGAACCAGACCATAATGCATAGCCAGCCCCAGATCTGAGATGTTTCCAGGAGAATCCAGTGGTAACCAGTCACTGCTCATTTTAATCATGTGTGATGTGTGGTTGAGAGGGCAATTTATTCCACCAGACACTGGAGCAACAAAAGGCCATCATAAATGATCTCGAGATTCCAGGAGGTGTGAAAAGCTGCCAAAATGTCTACAGTGAAAGAGTTCCTGTTGATTTTAAATTTGTAAGCACAATTTACAAATAAGGGGCATGCTCCCAGAACCCAAAAACTACAGGTCATTTGTAAATGTGTATAAATGTCCCTGGAGCTGGATGTTATGAATATTATGTCCTACCTGTCTGTGGTCCTGGAGAAAGATGGATTTGCTTCAGATGTTGTCTTCAGAGACTATGTGATGATAGGTGTTGAGGTGCCCCAGGGTAACCTGCGAAGGTAAACTGTGTCTCTTCCCAAGTGGAGACTGCAAGGCTGGTGAAACAAGCAATGAACGTAAGACATTATCCAAGCATAAGGGCAAAATGCCAGCTGCTGATTACATAGAATCCGTAGTTTTAATTACATTAAATGCCACCTATAAGGATCTTCACAAACAGAACTGCAACATTACGGCTATAGTAATTCGCTATGAGTGCTATTTATCTATTCATTTACTTTCAGATTTAAGAACAGGCCACAAGAAGCTGAGGATTTAGATGTACACCATTTGCCGAATATGGGCAGGGCCATGGGTTTCAGCACCGGGGAAAAAAAAAAGTCTGGCCAAATAGAGAAACAGTGGTGAGAGTCACCCATTTATTAAGTTTCGTATAACAAGTTTTCTTTTCTTTTTTGTTTTTTTTGGGTGCTCAGGATCAAATTCAGAGCTTTACACACGTTAGACAGGCGCTCTACCCACTGAGTTACACCCTGATTCTTACATAACAAGAGTTAATCTTTGAGAAGCATGTATTAACTTATTTGGGGCCATCTTACCTATTTTAATTAGGGCCCGTGGAGTTCCAGTATCAAACCAAATGTAAACCACAGGAACACTTCAAGGCCAGCCTAAGCAACTTAGCAAGACTGTTTCAAAATTTTAAAAAAGATCTGAGGATGCAACTAAATGATAGAGCATCTCCAGGTTTGAAGCCAGTACTGCCAAAAATTAGTGGGTTCCCAGGCATACCTATACTTTAAGTACCAATACCAAAACTGATGAACTTTGGTCAGCTAATGGATTTTAACATAAATGTTAACTATGCATGTACAAAATCCGATACTGTAGCTCCTTTTTACCTCTTATATATAAATTTGGTACATAAATTTTGGAGTTTCAATGAAATCAAAATACATAACTTCAACTATTTCTATACATAATTTGCCATATACTTATTATTTAAGCTAAAATATTCTAACACATATATAAATCTATTAAACTTCTTTGTATTCTCCCTTGGTACCTAGGGCTTGATATTAGATTACTAATCTATGGCTATCATTATCTTTGCTCAACCTGGCATTTGCACAGTAAGTAAAGTTCACTGTAAAAAAACCAAAACTTCAATGTTCCTTTTTATCCCACTCGGGCTCAAAGCCACTTAAAGTGGAAGTCTTTCCCGTCTTCCTTTTGCTTCAGGCTTTTACCCACCATAAGCCTAGGTATTTTGTTTCTGTCTCTGCTTGGTAACAGGAAAAGTAGCAAGTGCCAGGTTCTTGTCACCCTCCCTCTAGAACAGTGCTGGTGAATCTACGGCATCACTGCCACACCAGGCTGTATCACTGAAAGCTCTGTTGTTGTGGTTTTTTTTAAATGTATGAATTGTTTTTTCTAAACTAGAACCTCAGTATTCAGGTTTAATTGCAATGTTGACATTCTGCAATAAATAAGTGGGTTTCAGGGCCGGGGATTTAGCTCAGTGGTTTCGCCGCCTGCTGTGCAAGCACAAGGACCAGAGTTCAATCCCCAGTACCAAAAAAAAAAAATGTGGGTTTTAGCTGGCCGTGGTGGCACAACTTATAATCCCAGCACTCAGGAGGCTGAGGCAGAAGGATCACCGTAAGTTTGATACTAACCTGGGCTACATAACTGAGTTCAAGGCCAGCCTGCACTGCAGAGGGAGACCCTGTCTCCAAAAAACAAACAAAAATAATAAGTGGGTTTTGGGTTGCAGTTTGTATACTCGGTCTCTAAATGGTTCGCCATCACTGCCCTGGAAGGACCTTTGTCTATATGGTTATTACCCCCCCTTTCTGATCTCACATATAATATCTTTTAAAACAGATCAGGCAGCTAGCAGTCTTCTTACAGAGTTAAATGGATTTCCTCTCTGGCTGTGTAACTCAGGTCCTCTCAGCCTGAGTAGCCAAATAGGCTCCCTCTCTGCTGGGTCATTATCAACCCTATAAGCACTGAGCCCTATGCCAGGAAAGCAGCTAGCAGGGCAAAAGGGGCCTCAACTCACTTTTTTTTTTAAAGATAGGGTCTTGCTGTGTAGCCCAGAATGGTCTCAGCCTCCCAAGTGCTGGGATTATAGGCATGTACCACCACACCCAGTCTTTATTTTGTGGTTATTTAACACAAGAAACTTTAGCATAGCAATAGCTAACAGGGTGAAAGGGCTGGAGCACATTAACCAGGAGACCTGTTACCAAAGATTAGTTGAGAAACATCCTGTGACGTCTCGGGTGGACAGGAATCAAAGTGCTCCTCCCACTTCTCCCGGATGAATCACCACTCAGTCCACACTGCATAGCATCTACCATCAATCATGGGGTTAGGGGAGAAAAGAGCGACAGCAACAAGGGAGGTAGCAGCAAAGTGTCCACTGCCATTCCTCACTGGAACAGACTCAAGTTCTGATGGATTTGCATTTCTGCTAGTTATGCTTCTGCTGGCACCATCTGTGCACTCAAAATTGTCAACCCCTACCCCTGGCATCCACAGCCTTGTTTCTCACCACAAAGGAAGCACAATAACAGAGCATAGCCATGCAAGCAACTAGTCTCATCACACTGCCACTCAGGAATAGCTCATCAGAAAAAAAGTAGAATGGCTCACTGAGCACTTGGTTACAGGGCCAAATGGGAGACACCACATTCTGACCAAAGAGATTCTTTCTCATAGGACAAAGCATATTCTCTGAACTAGAGAGCCTTCACATGCTACTGTCTTGCAGTACAGTCAGGATATGTGGGCCCAAAAGTGCTGCCAGTTCCAGCAACTTTGAGTACTTACTGAAAGTTTGGAGATCTTCACTAGACAAAAGTATGCTCCAACACACATGGGTCATTTTGGGCATCACACAGCAACAAGCCAAGAGGCAAACCTGTGCAGACTCAATTCTATCTCCTTTGGGTGTTTATATACACATTATTAAAGGTTATAATTTTGTCTTTATATAACAAAATATTCAGTGAGAATCTGACTAAACTTAAGGAGTGATTAACATGGCCTGTGACTACTCGGCCTGTGTCGTCTCACTATGGGGAAGGGTCAGAACCTTCTCTTGCACCTTTTTAGGTAGAAACACAGACTTGACTAATCATGAGGAAATTGAAATGTATGCAGATGGCACACAGCATGGTGAATAGAAACCAAAGACTGTGCCAGGCACCAATTTACTTATCTAGCTCCAATTTTAATACCAATTTCAACCTGAAACATAGATTATATTTTTTATACAGATGTCAAGCTTGGCACTGAAAGTGTGTCACAAACTTTAACAGAGTAACTGCCTCAATACCCATGTTTAGGCTTCACTGAGTTACTGGAAATCCAGTGTTATCTTGTCACCTATGGCTGGGTTAAAGCTTTCCCTCTGTATGGCCATATGGCCTGCTTGTTCATCATACTGATGAAAAGCCCAACACGTCTCACACTTATCTTACTGATTATGATCAAATCTAAGACCCAACCCCAGAAGTAAGTAAGTAAAGCCAGATTTGAAAGTGTTTTCACATTAGCCAATCCACAGCCCCAGTGGAAAAGCCTGTGGAACAATGCCCAGGGTCCTTTACAAAGGAAGAACCCCAGCTGGGCATTGGGACACACACCCGAAATCTCAGTTACTTGAGAGATTAAGGCAAGAGGGTCCCAAGTTTAATCCCAGCTGGGGAAACTTAGCAAGACCCTGTCTCAAAATAAAAAGATAAATAGAGATGTAGCTTGCATGATGACCCTAGGGTTTAATCCCCAGTGCCATTTAAAAAAAAAAGGCACAGTCCAAAGGTTCCTTCTCCAGCTCCTCCCCCACTCCTGAGTGCTCTTACCATTTCTATACTTCTTGTGGGACCTCAAATCTCATGGATGTGTGGGCGATGAAATCTGCTATTTCATAAATGTGGTGTACTTGTCTGCATCCTGCTTAACCAGAATGTAACTCTAGTTCTGGGCAGGGTTAGTATTTATGGCCACACTCCAGAGAGAGGCCTTTGGAATCAAAATAGAGAAACATACAACTGGTGTAGCAAATGGTAAGCACATCCATGAGGGACACAACGAAAGGCATTCAGACTGCTCTTGGCTTCCCTCCTGGTCCTCCCACATGGTAAGTGCCATTTGGGAAGGCTTCCCGGCTGGCTGGGCAGCCATCTGTGCCTCAGTGCATTGTGCCTGCTAGCTCTGCTAAATGATGCTAAAACTCCCCTCCATGACGTGCAAGGGTCTGGGAACCACCAACCATCAGCCTTAACAGGGTAAGAGGTACACCCACACTCAATTTCTGCCACTCCTTGCTACTGGTCAGAGTGAAGGCCTTGCTCAGGTAGACTTGACTTGTTAAAAAAGTGGTAAGGTAGGCATGGGGCAAACACAAGGGTCAGCAGAGTATGAAAGGAAGACTGACACGCTGACTGTCAGAGTTGGAAATTCAGTCTGAGGCCGCCTGGCTTTCCAGCCAAGAGACGCATCCTTCCCTGGGGAAATAATGGCACCAGGGAGATAACCTGGCTGGCAATGTTACGGCTGAGGTCTGCTATCCCTGTGCTGCTGTCTCTCTTGTATGTTCCCCTGGCCCTAATGAGGTCTACTGGGATATTTGCAGAGGGAGGTGAATGTCTACAATGAGGTGAGGGAAACCACATTCAATACAGGGGCCATCTGGGCTACCAAGAGCCTGTCAAGTAAACATCCAATGAGAGAAAAAAGAATTTTAGCCACCCATGATTCAAGCCATTCCAAAAGTTTTACAAAAGAGATAGGTCTGGACATCTCACAGCAACCTAAAAGCACTAGGTTCCTTCCCTTCTCCTTTTTCTTATTAGCAAGAGATAGAAACCAAGAATCACCATTTCAGGCAGCTTGGAGATTTTTTAAAAGGGGAGAAAAAAGGCCTGGGCTTAAGGCAGCCACCAGTGGGAGAAGGGTGGCAGCTTTACACTTTATACACATCAAGTACTGAGCTAATGCCAGGCCCAACAAACAATGCTGCCAGTGTCAGATTACTTAGTGATTTAAAAACAAAGCACCAGACACAGAGGTGGAAGAATAA